CATATATGCAAGACTTGTTAAAACCAGTTTTATCAATCCACATTCCTTCTCATGCTAAGATTGTTTGTGTGAGAATATTGTACATGAAAATAGAGTTGTTGGTTTTCTCATTCTTGTTTTTGCTCTTAATCTTTTTCTTCTTCCTCCTTTTTCTCCTTTCTTCCTTCCCTCCTTCCTTTACTCCTTCCTTCCTCCCTTTCTTTCTCCTTTTCTTCCTCCTCCTCTTTCTCCTCTTCCTCTTTCTTTTTTCCTTAACCTGACTTGGCTTTTTGTCCAGAGTTGGCCAAGAAGCAGTGAGGCTTGGAGAAGAATCCACAACATATCAACTCACTAAATACCAACTTCTTTGCTATGAATTTCTTTGGAATATAGCAGGAAATCACATGCTAGTACATTTTTTAACTTCATGTCAACTTGTATTAGCTTGTAAATACATAAGTGAATATCAGCCCTGAAATTTCGCAGCCTATCCTTTTCAGAGGAAGTACAAAGTACATTTCATTGAGGTGAATGAAATAAACATCTGCTTTCCAGGCTGGCCCCAATTTACTTTCCTAGTTTCTTCTACTGTCATACTACATTATTCCCTTTCCTTCAAACTTAGAATAATTTTGAGTTCCAATTAGATGAATGAATGAAATAAGCTGTACAATTACTCTGTGCTTGCTTTCATACTTTCCTTGCCTTTCAAAATACCTCCTCTCCTACCATCTCATTTTTGTTGTTGTTGTTGTTTTTGTTTGTTTTTTGTTTTTTGAGACGGGGTCTCACTATGTAGTTGAGACGGACCTGGAACTCACTATGTAGCCCAGGCTAGTCTCGAACTCACAGCGATCCTCCTGCCTCAGCCTCCCGAGTGCTGGGATTACAGGCTTGTGCCACCACGCCTGACACCATCTCATTTTTATAAAGTAAGTTTCTAGGCATTTGAAAAGCTGTTACCTCTTCTTTAAATCCTCACTCAGCATGACCCTCTCTCCCCTCCTTATATTTCCAGTGTCTTTAAAATATCACTCTTGCTCTGTCATTTATCTATCCACTGCCCCTTTGTTTGTTTGTCCTTCTTTCCATTTAAGTGCAACTTACTTCATCGTGGAAAACATCTTTCATCTCTGTACCCACCAAGTGAAGCAGAATGACTGCCATGAGGCCGGCCCTGAAATGTTTCATGTCTTGGTTTGCTGTTTATTGGGCTGTGGGAGCGTGAATTTCAAATTCCAGGCCTGGCGTACAGATGCATTGTGTCCATCAATGAAGAAAGACCTAGAATACATAGCAGGCGTGGGAAGTAAATGCAGGCATGCTTGTGCAGGCATCTGGTAATCTCTTGAATCCCTAGGTCTGGCATTCAGGAGAGATTAAGACTAGACAGAGTTGGGAGTGACCAGTGTAGACACGAGAATTAAAACCTTGGCAGTGAGCACTGAGGACAAGGCACGAAATGAAACTGAGGAAGCTGAAGACAAACCCTGGGGAAAGCTATAATTTAAGGGCTGGGTGATAGACGAGATCCAGCAGCTGACTCTGAAAAAGAAGGTGAAGAACAAGATGGTAATGAGGTCATAGAAGCTGAAGGAGCAGTCAAGTTCGAGAAACATGGCGTAGTAACTAGGGTCAAATTCTACAGTAAGAGGGCCATAGCTAGACAAGAGTGCAAGGTCAGTATGGGACTTTCAACAAGGAAATGCACACTTTTTTTTGAAAGTTTCTTATTTTCAAGGATTGTTGCAGAAGGAATTGGCAAGTGACACACACATAGAGACAAGCTGAATGGAAGTAAAATAAAAAGTTTATTTTGCCAGAAAAGGGTCGACTGCATTCAAAAAGGCAGTGCCGGTGAGCGACCTCCCATTGGATTGCAGCTTCCTCTTATAGGTTTTACAGCTGTGATCTCACTCAGGTGGTTCCATTTCATTTCCTCAGTTCACATTACCCATGTGCAAATTACAGTAACCAGACAGTTCACTTTAGCCCAGATGTAACAATTCCTTGTAGCTAGGGAGTTTACCTCAAGATTTTTCTAGCTATCTATTCTAGTGCACAGGAAGGGGGTGTTCAAGGTCAGGGATGAGGCCAGATGTCCCGCTTCATGGTCAATGCCTCCAGTGTCTGTTAATTTTGAACTAAACAAAGCAGACTGCTGTTAGAGACAGAAGAAGTTACTTTATATTTTCGTAACATTTTGTTTTTTGTTTGTCTGTTTGTTTTTGTTTTTTGGCACCAGGGATCAAACTTGGGCCCTTGCGCTTGCAGGGCAGGCAGCGGAACCACTGAGCCAAATCCCTAGCCCTTTCCTAACATTTTGTAGGTTTTTAGGTTATTTATAAAAGTTCTCTGTATCAGGATGAAACAAATACTTGATCATTAAGACCTAAGGGGGCTGGGAGCTGTAGGAACCAAACTGCACTAAAACAACAATAAACCTCATCAAATCTTTCCAAGAAAATTGTATTCTAATTTTAATTTCCTTTTCTCTCTTTGTTTAAGGGATTTCAGAGATAAAAGAGGCGCTTTTGTCCACAGCCTTTGACTGCTTTAGGATAATTGAGGACTCCAAATCATATGACCTGCTCTGCTGATGAAAACTAGCTTTGTGGGAGTCACTGTGAAGACTTCCCAAGGGAGACTTTAAAGGATTTGAAGAAAAATATTCCATCACCATTGAGTCTCCAGGAGGAAGAGAAGAGCTTAAAAGCAAAAGATACCTTGAGACAGGAGTTCTGACTTATTGCTACCATAATAATGATCATCATAATTTAATTTGTATTTATTTGTATTTGCCTTATTTATATTCAAAGAAAATAGGCCTTCTTTCTGAAATGGATGAAATTAATATCAACACAGAAACAGTTACATGTTTTTAATTTACTTACTTTTGGAGAGAAGAGGTAATACATTTCTCCACTTTGCGATCTATTCTTTCACCTATCCGTCCTCCCACCCATTTTCTGTCCATGCAAATAATTTTTAAGGTCTGTCTTATGGGTTTTATGCACTTTTGAAGTCTCTGAGTCTACAAAGAAGACTAAGATCAGATTAATAGTCACCATCCAGTATATAGTAATACATTCACATAAAACATCATTGAAATTATGTCAGGGGTCAGGATGCTTCTCAAGTGTTTTAAAATTAACCTAAATGCATGCTTTCGGAAGCAGTATACTAATGCTTCCTGACATTATTGCTATCACTGATAAATGTCAAAGGGGAGAGTGATATTTTTGGAGCTGATTTTTTTCTCTATTACAAAAATAGATTATAAACACATACACATATGTCACAGAGAGAGCATAGGCTAATATTTCTATACAGGGATAAGCATTAGCATATTTTTAAAGTTCACATTACATTTCTGTTGTCGGTTACAATCATCTGTTGGTTTGAACTCCTTATTTTATAATAGCTATCAAAATCTGTTGGCATAATATAATCTGATTAAATTTCACAAGTATATGAGAATTTTATAGTAAAAGACTTCCTAAAAGAGGCTGTATACTTCAATATTTTCAATGTAACCATCTTCATAAAGGCAGAGAGCTAACTCACACTAACAAATAATGATCTCTAGTGACAGTAAGACAAAGCAATAATGGAACTCAAATTCATGAATGTTTTATTTTTATGTAGTCGATATCTGTTTGGGACATTATTCTAAGTCAGATTGTAGTTTTAACTTCTACCAGGCATATATTTTAGGGGAAGAACATAGACAAAACACAGATGAGTCAAGTTGCCCAGGCCACCATGTTGTTCTGCCAGGAGCTCCTTTGTTCCTCCTGGAAACTCTTTTGGTATCTCCAGTGCTGGAGGAAGCACGAGATTAATCACATTGCTGCTCAGAGGAGTAAAAGATGCAGTACCTTTTGTGAAGGTCTCTGGATCTCTTCTCCACCTTTTGGCTAAGATCAAGTGTGAAGGTGGCTGGAGAAGGCTAATTTTTCTCTAACCTTAAGCGGGGACACTACTATGGTTTAAATCTAAAAAGTCTCCCTCAGGCTAGCTGATAAGTTTTTAGGAAGTGATCAGATAACAGGGACACTAGCCTTATTAGTGGATTAATTCATTGATGAGTTCATGGCTGAATGTGCTATTAGGAGTGTGACTTTGTTGTACAAAGTGGGTCATGTTAACATGACCTTGGAGGTTATATGTTGTCCCTGGTCCCTTCTTTTGTGGCTCTCTGATCCTGTTTCCTAGCTGCTATGACATTAGGAGCTTTCCTCCACTACGCTCTTATGCCATGGTGTTCTGCTTTGGCGGGAGCCAGCTACGCATTCACCTCAAACCTCTGTAACAACGAGCCAAAATTAATCTTTTCTTCTGAAATTGTTTTTCACAGGTATTTTGTCACAGTGACAAAAGAATGACTGACAAAGACACCCTTATATCAAAGATCATTGCTCGCTCCGTTGGCAGTTGGAATGTCACACAAGCACCAGACCGATTTATTTAGTTAAAAGAGATTGTTAGGGTTAGTGTCAAAACAGCAGGGACAAGAACTTCTGGAGCTCCTGTCATGGATTACAGTTTGACAAGTTTGTGGTGTAAAAGCAGTTCTGGTGGGATACTCGATTCACAAGCTTCATTTTCCTATTCTACTCACACAGCATGAATTAGTCAGCTCTGCTCCTTTATCAAGGGACCCCCAAAGTCTCAGTATATGGGACTTGTGGATCTGAAATAAAGAAGATACGTGGCTTAAAACTTGCCTGAAGTCTCTGTCATCCCAGATTCAGGTTGAAGGAATAGCTTGGTTTTTGGATATGCCATTAGCATGGAAAAGAGAAAACAGCAAGAGAGTTGGTGGAATGCAATTGCTCTCACAGCTGGGGCTCAGAGGAGGCACAATGAAGGTCACCCACGTGCCACTGGGCTGAGTACTCCGTGGCGAAGCCTGATGTCAAAAGTGTAAAAACTGTACGTCCCTCAGGTTGTGCAATCCTTTCCCAGAAGGAGGAGTGACGGTTGGGAAGGAAGACACAGTCTGTCTCACCATGTTCCTTGCTACAGCTCCACCCAAATCTCCTGCTTGCTTCTTCAATCCCTGCCTTTCCACCCAAGCGCAAAGGAGACTTCTATGGAGGAAGAACTAAAGACAAGGTGGGAGACAAGTGAGAGAACCGGGAGCTTTGTAACTAAGAAAGGATCTTGGGGGCCAGGACTTAGTTCAGTGGTGCTGCTGCCTGCCTTGCAAGCACAAGGTCCTGAGTGTTTGTTCCTTGGTATGAAAGAAAGAAAAAGAGAGAGAGAGAGAGAGAGAGAGAGAGAGAGAGAGAGAGAAAAGAAGGAGGGGCTTTGGGAGTAATGTGTGAGGCAAGAGACAGAGTGAACCCTAGGTGAAGACTGGAGGACTGTGCTCGGAACAGTGTGATTAAGCCCTCAAGGCCATTGTCCTCCTCAATTAACATTTACTGAGCAAACCCTGAGACACTGACCAGGACTGGGAACTACAAACTTTCCTGGACTGGGAAAGGCTCTGAGTGATCTTCACATTAAAAAACACACAGGCTAAGGAAACCCACCATTTTTTCCAATCCCCAGTCACCCTAAAGAGAACTTCTCTCCTTCATTCATCTGCGGAATCCCAATTAAACACAGTAAACAAAGGAAAGTCCGTACTTTGTAATTTTCCTCCCTCTCCCTGTGTTTTATTTGCAGTCTCAATTTATTGTTCAAGAGTCTCCTCCTTTTGGCATCCTCCTCTATTAACCAGAGATAAAAGCTGTAAAGGGAAGGGAACTCCTTCAGTTCTCTCTGCCAGTTGTGAGACTGAGCAGCCACCTCTACAAGGGGAGTTGACATCTGTTGACTGAGCCCAGCCTGTCCCACACAGTGCTGTGCTCATGCCCAGAATGCAAACTGCAGCTATCAGAGTCGGAGCTGGGTTTAATAACTGCTTGAGCCCAGAGCAAATCTACTTGGGCACTAGAAAAGAAATTGTGTGGTTTTAAAGCAGATGTATGTTCTTAATGTGGTTGGCTTGTAAAGCAATAAAATGTGGGGGTTTCCCCCTTAGCCTATCACAACCGTTACAGTAAATAGTGGAACTCAAGGCTGAGAGCTTCTATCACAATTCCGTGTAGCATTTTGTCCATGTAACAAGATGAAACTTAAATTAGCAGCACATATAGAAGGCATCTCATTTTCTCACATACAGTACAATATTAGGAGCAAACAACATATGTCTCCATGGTTATAAACAAAGGTGTCGTGTTTGCAAAACAGGTCCTATATGTAGAACATCTATAAATGGGATGAAATATGGGTTTTGTGTTGGTTGAAATGATGTGAAATATTTGCAGCCGCATGATCTTTATGCGAAACATTTTCTCCTCTGTGGACTCAGTCGGAACTGTATTTACGTCATCTTTCTCCAAACTGAGCTCCTGGCTCGGTGCCTCTGTGACCTTGGAAAAACCAACAAGTCAGAGCTTCTGTTTCCTCACCAGTAAAATAAAGGTGCTGGGCTGGATCCAAGTTTCTATAGCTCTATTTGGGGGGACATTATTTTTGTGGAAATGAATGAGAGTAATCTGTTTTCTTTTTAAAAAAAGGGGGTCTCAGTCAAGCAAGTTTTGGAATTGTGACATTAAACAAAGTTAAACGCATTTATTTTCTGAGAAATTTAGTGTGCTAAAAATATTCATTGTGATTCTCCAAGAGGGAGACAGAGTATGTGCTGGGTCTCCAATTTATTTTCCTTCAAAACTTTTTTCCTGTGGAATATTTCTCAGAAGCACCCTAAACATTAGAATGTAAATATGCTGGCCTTATGACACAATTTTATTGTCTGTTTATTGTGCCTGTATTTCCAACATCTTTCAACTATTTCTGGGAAAGTCTTTTTTTGGCTTTTTTTCCCTTCATTAAGTTTATTGGTACATTTAAAGCAAACAATACAGTTACAGTCATCATTGGGATCTTGTATCCTTTACATGAGAGATCTCAGTTCTTATTTTTTCACCATACCCTTGTCCTCCCAGCTTTTGAATTCATTAAGAAGGTGAAATTCAGTTTGTTCATCACTCCTTTCTTCCTGTTCTTTTTTTGTCTTAAGATTTTGAAATGTTGAAAAGTTTCAAACCCTCAGGAAAGTTGGAAAAATAATACAGTAAGTATGTATTTAAAATCACTTAAATTCAACCACTGCTAACATTTCCCTCCAGTTACTTTCTATCTCTCCCTCTTTTTTCTTTTCTGTGCATGTACTCAGACATATTATATACCATATGCATAATTTTATGGCTCAACCATTTCAAAATAAATCGTAGACATCATGATTCTTGTCATTAAATACTTCAAGGTGTATCTCTTAAAAACAGGACATTTTCTTATATAACCAAAGAATAACTACTAAATCTGTGAAATTTAACATTGATTAATAGTATCTGATGTATATTCTACGTTTAATTTTCCCTAACTGATCTAAAAATGTCCTTTACGCATTTAAAAAAATTTTTAAATAGTTTATTTAGCCTAATATAGTCAAAGTACTATTTCTGCAACATGTAATCATTTAAAAATTCTAGTTTTTTAAAAATAAATTTGCTTGTGTATGAGATCTACAACATGATGTTGTAAGACACATATAGTAAAATAGTTACCATAATGAAGCAGATTAACATATCTATCATCTCTCAATGAATTTTTATTGAAAAATCTAAGATCTGTTTAAGATTTACATATTAGATTTAGTTATATCTTTTCATTTTACAAAAACACTTGATTTTCATGATATTTATTTCTTTTGAAAAGTCCAGATGATATTTTTTTGCAAAATGTCTGAAATTTTTAATTTTCATGATTATTTCCTCATAATCATATTCTGTTGTAATTGGTTTTTTTTTTTTTTTTTTTTTTTTTGGGTACTAGAGATCAAACTCGGGTCCTTGTGCTTGCAAGGCAGGCAGCAGAACCACAGATAAATCCCCCAGCCTGAATTACTGTTAGAAAGATATTAATAGGTGATGTTACTTCACTTTGCACTGTATCAGGAGGCATATAATGTCAGTTTGTCTCCTTACTGGTGATATTTTTAGTAATTGGCAGATTAAGATATTGTTCATTATATTCTCTATTACAAAACTATCTTTTTTTTTGAGACAGGGTCTCACTATGTAGTTGAGACTGACCTGGAATTCACTATGCAGCCCAAGCTGGTCTTGAACTCACAGTGATCCTCTTGCCTCAGCCTCCCAAGTGCTGGGATTACAGTCATGCACCAGCATACCCAGCTCAAAGCTATTTTTTTGATAACAAGTCATCTGAGAGTCTTTCTGAGGTGTAGTGCTGGAGATTGAACCTAGGGCCTCATGTAAACTAGGTAGGCACTCTACCCCTGAGCTATCCCCAGGCTCACTTTATAGTTCTTTTGTTTGTTTGGTTTGAGACAAGGTCTTACTTTTGAGCCCAGATTGGCCTTCGATTCACTATGTAGCCCAGCTTGCTCTTGAACTCATGATATTCCTGCCTCAGCCTCCTGACTGTTGGATTATAGTTGCGTGCCACTGTACTTGTTGACAGCTGAAATTTTGAGACTCATGAATGATTTATTTCCAATAATCACACTCGGTGACTTGAAACTTTTTTTGAGTGTTGTGACTGAACCCGAGGCTTTACACATGCTAGGTAAGTTCTCTAGTACTGAGCTACACCCTCAAATCTTACCCAGTGGCTTTGATGTTTACTGATGATCTTTGCCTGAACCAAAAGTGATGTGGGGTATTGCAAAATAGTAGTGCAGAAATGGTATGATTTTAAGCCATTAATTTATTAGCTGTTTTTCCTCTGTAAAGAAGAGCTTTCCCTTTTCTTCCCTCCCCTTAGGAATCATGTACTATAGGTTCTTTTTTATTCTAAGAGCATATAATCTATTCTTGTAATTCTCCTTTTAAAACATTTATTCAGAAGCCACTTTGGGCCTGAGATTAACCTACTGTAAAGCTTAGTTTCCTGAACCTTTCCTTGCAAATGCTTAGAGACATTCATCGATATAACACAGGCCCAGGCCGGTAATCTGGACCCTTGAACTGGCCACCGCTTTGCCTCCAAGCCTCGTCAAATGGGAGAGGGAACTGAAGATGGAGACAGGATTGGAGGAAGAATTATTATTCCCCTTCTGACCCTTGGTTAGGCTACAGTGGTTCCAACCATCATCAAATGCTCATCTAAATCATCACACAGGAAAGAAAACAATTCAATCAACTGCCACCTTCGTGGAGCTATGCTACTCTGACTCAAGAGGGCAAGAATTCCAACACAAAGAACTCAGTCCCTGACACTTGGGCTCAGGATTGGTGAGGAAAAAAGCAGAACTCTTGCTTTCACACTGAGCACAAAATGAGCCTTCTCATGGTCACTAATGTCATTCGAAAGGCCTGCGATATATTCTCAGATTGTTAATATATGGTAAGGCCTTCAGTGGTTATAGAGGGATTGAAGTTCTTGGGCTAGAAAAGGAGTTGGAAAGCACTTCCTGGTCAGGCATAAGACACAGAAGCAGGATCCTCACCTCTGCACAGGATTTGAAGGACAGATTTCAAGTGATCACTAAGTGAGACAGAGAACAGAGCTGGATGGCTACTCTCAGGGGAAGGATAAAGGATGTAGTTTTATCTACCCTGGGAGAGAATAGACTGACCCACCTTGGTCAAATTCTCCAGTGGAAGTCATGTTCTGAGGGTTATGCAAGAGGGGACATCGTGCGGTGCGACAAGCCTGGGTGCTGTGGGACCCTACTGTCTCACAGAGGTCAGAAAATATATTCAAAGGATGTACAAGCTTTTGTTCCTTTTAGGAAGTCTTCCAGCCACAGGAAGAAGGTACAGCCTGTGTTCTCAAAGAGAAGGAACAGGCATATCAAGAACTGGCATCCTGCTGGGAAGGGAATCAGCAGCCAAGGGAAGTTTTTGCACCAAATCTTTTGTCACCTGCAGGTTCACATAACCTTGTGTTTCTGTGAGGCCAATGAGGAGATCACCCAGCTGTCACAGTACCTCCCAAGAGATAAGGGTTCAAAGGCAAAAGTCCAGGGTTTCAGACCAAAACACCCAGATTCAAACACTGTTCCCTGAAATTTATGAGGCACACGGCCCTGGCAAATTAATGCCAGTTCTCTCATCTGTAAAACAGAGATAAAAAGCATCTCACAGATACGTTGTGAAAATCATGTTAGAGTAAAGCTTGTGTATGGCTGTGTTAGTTGGAATTCCTTTCATTCCTGGCAACAGAAACCAACCTGAGCTCAAGGAGATGGGGAGGGGATTAATTATAAGGTCACAGTGATGTCCCACCATTTTTTAAATTAAAAAGTTCAACTGTGCCATAAAACCAAAGATTATACATATTAATAGGACAATGTGATGTTTTTGTACATGTATACGTTGTGTAATGTTTAAATCAGGCTAACCGTATATATTTCCTCACAATTTTATCATTTCTTGCAATACAAACTCTTGAAATCCTTTCTGAAATGTACAGCACATTATTGTTCCCCACAGTCAGCCTGCTGTGCTCCTAACTGTAACTTAGTACTCGCTGATCAGTTTTTCCTCTCCCTCCTTCCCCTCTCCGCCGGTGAATTTTGTTGTTGTTATTTGGTACTGGGTCCTTTCACTTGGGAGGCAGGCGGCAGCAACACTGTGCTAAACCCCCAGCCCTCCTCCTCTCAGTTTTAACTTCAGGAATTCTGCTAAACCTTGTAATGAGGCTGGAACCAAAAAATAAAAGGTCATTAGGAGATGTTGTTGCTTTTTCTTGTTGACCTGAGGTTTTGTTTTGTTTTGTTTTGTTTTGTTTTGCTGTCTTCATTAGGAGATGTTGTTGCTTTTTCTTGTTGACCTGAGGTTTTGTTTTGTTTTGTTTTGTTTTGCTGTCCTTTTGCAAGGACTGGGTTTCTCTTCTCCAATCCCACCACACTGGCAACAAATGACTGCCCAAAGTTCTTTAATCTACATCTTCTCTTTTCAAGGCACTGGTTTAGAAAAAGCCAGAATCTCATAACCCCGATTCCAAAGTCTCACAACAGAGTGTGATCCTTTATCCTATGACGAAGGTTTACCGTGGCATCGAGCAGATGGGGAGGCAGCAGTGGAAGGAGCTCAAAGGCCTAGACAGCACATGCCACCTGCAGGGCTCTCCCTTCAGGTGAGCAGTAGAACTATGGGATTGCTGTGGGCTGGACAGACATTCCAAAATGTGTTTTCTACACACAATCCCTAGGCCAGTGTGTTGCCTAATGGGGTCTTAGTAGGTTATTTATCGTTTTTGCTCCCCTCAGACCAGCTATGATGAATGGAAGAGCAGAGTTGGAGATAAATACCCATGTTATTCTGAAGCATGTAGGACTAAATGAGCACGAAGAGGCAATCACTCAGATCAATGTAGTATCTGACCGTAATACCACGCTAGCATAAATAAGGTGGGTTGTGTACCTTTAGACCTTTTTTAATCCTTCCTAAATTTGTCTTTTCGCTGTGTCTTCTGAAATGTGCATGCCCGTCCTTGGAAAATTCCCAGTCATGGTGATATAAAATATTAGGAATAATCCTTCTATGGAGAAAATTGCTCCTACAGAAGAGGGTTGAGACAGCAGGTAATAGTTAATGAGAATACTTAGGAATTGGAGGGACAGAACTGCTACAGACCTTCGCTGATTTTTTATCCTTGCTCATAGATCATAAAGCCAATTGCACAAAGCCAGTTATTCATCTCTCCCTCCTTCTACCCCTTCCTTATTTTCTCCCTGCCTTTCTTCTTTCCTCTTTCTTTGTCATGCAATAAGTGTTTGCTTAGGCAAAAACTGTGCTGTTGACAGAGGTACAGACAGACATAGCCAAGATGTTTTACGTGTCAAATTTATTTTCCTTGGAAAGCAGAACACCCAGGCTGGGATTCAGAATCTGTACCTAGAGCAGAGAAAACCATCCACTTATTTTAGGAAGCCGGTCAAAAGGGTACCAAGTGAGAGCAGACCAGGAATTGAAGAAGGTGAAAGTATTTGGTTAAGGTGCTGAGTGAAAAGGATGAGTCTGAACCAATGGGTTACCCAACAGCCCTGCCAGGCTCAGGGTGTGGTTTGATGAGGGCCTGGCAAGCTCCCCAAAGACTGTGAGCAGCCGAGTCAGGCCCCTGCCACACAGAGTCACTTGGTCACTTTCCTATAGCTGAGACACAGTACTTGATACCCACCACTTAAAGGAGGTGAGATATATTTTGGCTCACAGTTTCAGAAGTTCCAGTTCATGGTTCACCAGCTCAAATATAGAAACAGCATGGGGGCAGGATCTGGCCACCATGAAAACCGCTCACATCACTGTGGACAGGAAATAAGGAGGAGCTGGGCAGGGAGGTAGACCCTTCCAGACCACACTCCTAGTGACCACTTCTAACTCAACCCTACCTCCCAGTAGGAAGTCAACTTTAGCACGTGCAAGATCCAGTCACTTGGCAAAAGCCCCACCTGAGTGCATGAGAATTTTGTGTGTGGGGATCATTCTTGATATAAAACCGTAATAGTGATCCTGGAGGGTACCAGACCCTTCAGAGCTGGGAGAACAAAATGCAGAATTCTGAAGGAAGAAATGTCTGCCACATCAAATACTTTTCTTTTTTATCTTTATTAAATTTATTGGTACATTTAGGTATACAATACAGCTACATTCATCATTGGGATCTTGTACATGACTTATCTTGGTTCTTATTTTTTCCCCATTCCCCAGCCCTTCCTTAAGCCCCTCCACCCTTCCCTGTTTACAAAGACATGGTTTCCATCTTTTTTCTTTTCACATATTTTTGGTTCTACCTTTTTACCTTTGCTCTACCCCTCCCACTTCTTCTACTGTTTTATGCTTTTCTTTTGATTACACAATATCAATTATACATATTGATCCTTATTTACACTTTTACTTTTTCACATCAGAGAAACTATTCAATATTTAGACGAGTGACACTAATTCACTTAAGAGTATAGCCTCAATGTGCAACCACTTAGCTGTAAATGTGTCTGGTTTCTTGTTCTTTATGGCTGAGTAGTATTCTATTTTATTAAAAAAAAAACCACATATTCTTTATCTAGTCTCCAGTTGATGGGGAATTGGGCTATTTCCGGCTTTAGCTATTACAAACTGTGCTGCTATAAACATGGGTGAGCATATATCACTGTGGAATGATTCTTTTAATTCTTTTGGGAAGATACCAAGCAGAGGAATAGCTGGGTCAAATGGAACCTCTAATCTTAGTTCTTTGAGGTATCTCCATATTGATTTCCATAGTGCTTGCACCAATCTGCACTCCCACCAACATTGAAGAAGGGCTCCTCTCTCTTGGCAAACCTGCCAGCATTTGTTATTTGTTGATTTCTTGATAGCAGCCATTCTTTCTGGGGTGAGGTAGAATCTCAGTGTTGTTTTCATCTGCATCACTAAAATGACTGGTGATGTTGAACATTTTTTTTCACATGAATATTTGCTGCTTTTACTTCTTTGTCTGAGAAGTGTCTGTTCATTTCAGATGCCCATTTTTAATCTGGTCTTTATATTTGGGAGGTCTGATTTTTTTTGAGTTCTTTATATATTCTAGATCATAGACCTTTGTCTGAGGAACAGCTGGCAAAAGTTTTTTCCCACATTGTAGGCTGCCTCTTAGCTCTGCCTGTGATTTCTCTGGCAGTGCAAAAGCTTTTTAAGAAGATGAGATCCCAATTGTTGATTCTTTGTGCTACCAAGGATTTGTTCATAAAACTGAGGTTCCCATGCTACTGAGTTCCTGTGCTACTGATGATTTGTTCATAAAGTCTTTTCCTATGCTGATATCTTCAAGAGTTCTACCTAACTTATCTTCCAGCAAGTTTAGTGTGTCTGTTTTAATATTTAGATCTTTAATTCATGTGGATTTTAGTTTAGTGTATGGTGAAAGATACAGGTCTAGTTTTAATCTTTGGCAAGTTGAAATCTAGTTTTTTAACACCATTTATTAAAGCAACTATCTTTAATACTTTTCTAATAGTGAAGATAAGAATATAAAAATCTTCCTTAGTAATTTCACTTCCTATTCAATCTCTCAACACAACTTGCAAAATTGTAATGAACAAACCATACCTCTCTAAATTCACCATCGAGACTTAAAAGTGTTGGTGGGGGGAGAGGTAGATCAAACATGTTTTTTTTTTTCTCAAAAGCAATCATGTTAATGCAGTCACTTAATCAGATTACATCACTTTACATCACCATTAAAAACAAATTATGTCTGGGTGGTAAAATATATTATGCTAGTTTCAGGGTTTTCTTAGTTTAGAAGCTCACATTTAAGGCATATATTTCATATATTGGTGTTTGCCCCTATTATGTCTTGCAACCCATTGACAACCACTGAATCAGTGGAAATATTTAGAGGACAACAAGACTCGCTTGAGTGACAGTCCTATTTGACTAAATAGCTCAGCCATGTCTTTACTATGGATATAAATGCTTTCATATTACATTTATACACTTATATCCACTATGGAAAAAATAGTATTTCAACAGTAAAAAAATAATGTGGCAGGAAAGCAACCCTGGGGTGTTATAAATATCCAATAAGAAATAACTCTATTGATAATATTCAAATTTATCTCCAGGAGATAAAAGCTGAACTTATCGAGAGGCCACAAATAAGCAATAAAGCCCTCTTTGTTGAGAACAGATAAATTTGAGATTTTCAATAATATAAATATTCTATTGTTCCTTATTCTTAATGCCATCCCTTTTAAAATGCTCGCTGCTTTTGTAGTTACTACTTTCTGATGCTTTTTCTATACCTGATGATTCATAGTAAAACATTGGTATGCTATCAAATAATCTCTTTTCTCTGGTTTTATTTCTTCCTTTCTGAATTGCCCTCTCACTTCCATTTTCCCTACCACCTCTCAATCCTCTACATCTAATGGTAGAACCACAGACATAAACAAAAAGCAAATAAGAATTATGTATTTAATAACAGGAGAGAGAGAAGTGTGGGCACTCTATACTTTTTTCTCTACCTACATAAGTCTCACTCCTCTGCTGCCATATTAGCTCTCAAAGAGTGCCATAACAAAGTGTCACAGGCTGTGTGGTTTCAGCAACATAAATTCATTTTCTCACAGTTTGGAGGCCAGGAGTTAGAAGTCAAGGCAGGGGCAGTTTCTTCAGGTCTGTTACGTTGGCTTGTGTATGACTGTCTTCTACCTCTGTCCTCAATCTCTCTGTGTGCAGATGTGTTCAAATCCCTGCTCTTACAAGGATTAGTTATGTTGGATATTAGGATTTCTTCTAACAACCTCATTTTAATGTAGTTACCACTTTCTGAAGTATAAAAACAGCAAGGACCCCGAACAGACAATTTTTAACACCAAAATAGAAGCAAAAAGCAGCTTTCAATAATGCTGGTGGCTCAGCGAATTACTCCTGTCAGTCTTGAGTACCCCAAATAGAAGTTTACGCTTCCTTGTGCACTTCTTTTACATCTAAGAAGCTCAATTCCACTGGAGTTTCCCTGGGAATATAGCAAGCAGAGTTTACAAAAAGCAAAGCAGTGCAGAAGGGGAGAGCAGAGTTCTGGCGAGATTTTCTGAGCCCCTTACGCTCCTTTGATGACAAATTGCAGAAGATGTCATGGCTACTCAGGTACATTCTACAAAGAGCATAGTTACCTAGTTAGTCCATAGCTGCCTAATAATACAGTTAACTTGTAGTTGCCCAATTCTATATGGAGAGGTGGTCTCCTCTCTCATTTGAAGACTATTTGCAAACATTGTCACATTCTGAGGTTATGATTCAACATGTGAATTTTGGGGAGAAACAATACAACCCATAACACTGCCTTCATCTACAGTTAACAAAAAACATTTTTCTGTGAAGCCTTCATCCCATTCTGATGTGGATTTTCAACAGCCTTGGTGATCTTTGCCATTGTCTTAGTGACTGAAAGCATTTCACTGGGCACTTATGGTATTGTCTTGAGTGGTTTTGGATGAAAGTAATTTCTTCCCCTATA